TTTCATCAAAAACATTCAAAAATGCACGATTCACTATGGGTAATACACTAAAACTCATAAAATCTCATGTTGAACACGAATCAGACATCAATTTTGCACGAATCACTCAAAAATCCAAAACCCCATGTCAATAGACTTCCAAATTAAACTCGAATTCACTCACCTCGGATTAACCTCGTGCGTTAGGTGATGAATGGGAAGCTCATGATGCTCCTCTTACTCTGTAGAAACCAATTTGAGGCGTTAATTTCTCGGATTTAGGATGAAAATTTTCAGATTTGCAGAGAGTGTTGAGTGTTAGAAAGATGATGAAGAACTGAAGGGGGAGAGGGGTTAAGAAGGCTCGGATTCGACAAATATGGATAGAGTTCGGGCCCAGGGATTGAAAAATCCGGATTTTGGTCGAAGATTGGTGGGTATCGGTCGTTTTAAGGTCAGATCCAGACGAAAATCTCGCACGTTGCTGCCGACAGTCCGGTCAGTCCATTCCGGACTGCCTGGTCGACCCTCCGGTCCAAAGATTTTTTTTTTTTTGAAAACTGGGTTGTTACATGATCTTTAATTTAATTTCTTGAAAAATTCAAATGCATTAATTTACGTCATTATCTTTTAGTTCATTTTTCTCTTTTTCCCTGAAGTTTCTATTTTTTTTTTCTAAATGCATGATCATGCAAAAAATGTTAAAAAATATTGTGTTTCAATTATTCCTTTGGGATTTTAGGAAGATACAAATCTTTTTATATCTAAAATAATTTGTTATAATTTTATAATAAATATGTTGTGCTGTTATTTGAGTTGAGTTTATGAAATGATACAACATAATACAGTTTAATCAAAGTAAACCAACTAATCAAAAATATCAACTTTGAATCTACTTTGGAATTATACAATTTTAAGATACGATCTCCTTTAACAGAAAAATGTCATTGAACATATTTACTTTTACATATTATTAATTAATGTTTTAAGTAGATAATTATATGGTTTATTCAGAGTAATATATCTATATAGTTTTGATTAGAAATCGTCTAAGTATGAGATATTCAATTTAGAATGTAATCTTATAGTTTGACATTAATCTTTTGAAAATGACAAAGAAAAAGATCGACTAAAAATTCATACATTAACCAAAATAAATAGAGTGCAAGTTTTATAGATACGCCGTGTGTTTATTGAAATACTAATGAGATTATATATATTTAATATTATAACAACATTTTATTGTGAAATGCTTATTAAATTAAATTAAATACATTGTTATTGTATTGTTAACAACAACTAAATTTATATTATTATTTAAAACTATACTTTTCAAACTTTCGAGTCTTAAAATATTATTATATTTCTATATTTTGTTTTATTATATACATTTATACATATATATATATAGCTATATCTATGCTCGTGTTAATATTAATAACATTATATATCTAATTATTCTTATTATTATTATCATCAAATTTTCTGTTTAAGGTTATTGTTTTTTTTTAGTCTAATTTTTCAATGGGTCGTTACAGTCCCGGACCAAAACTTGGTCCGACGAATCAATAATATTTTTTTTGATGTTTTTCCGGACTCTATAGCTGAATTTGGGCACCCGGAGCATTCTGACCACTCACCTATCATCCTCACATTGGCGAGACCAATGGGCAGAAACTCTAAACCGTTTAAGTTCTTCCACCACCTGACACTTCTTCCTGATTTTTCCAGGGTAGTACGCGATGGCTGGGCAGCTAGAAGCCTCGAGGATAGCCCTCAATTTCATTTGTGCTCAACTCTGAAACGCTTGAAGCAGTCGCTTAGAGCCTTGAATGCGGCAAATTTTAGCCAAATCTCAATGAGAGTCCAGGAGGCGAAGGACAATCTGAAGCTATTGCAAGGCATAACACTCGTATCCCCAAACAACACTTCAGTGGAAGAGGAAAGAGCTGCTCGAGCTAAATTAATGTTATTGGCAGCCGCTGAGGAACGCTACTACCGGCAAAGATCCAGAGTAACATGGCTGAGACTCGGCGATAAAAATACAGCCTTCTTCCACCGCACCGTGAAAACAAGAGCTGCTCGAAACAGAATTCACTTCCTAGTTGATGATGCTGGTCAAAGGCTTGAAACTCACAGCTCTATCTCTGAACATGCAGTCCAATACTTCCGCTCCTTGATCGGGAGACGTAATGAGGAAACACAACCGCCCAGCCCCCAATGGTTCCGAGAACTAATACCCTCTGTATGGCCATCGGAACTAGCTACTGAGTTGACAGCTATTCCACTACCCGAGGAGATAAAGACAACATTAATGTCAATGCCACAGAACAAAGCTCCAGGGCCCGATGGATACCCGAAGGAATTTTTCTCTACAGCATGGGAAACGATTGGTGGGGATGTGATTGCAGCAATCACACACTTCTTTGAATCAGGGTCTCTGCTTGGTCAAGTGAATGCTACCATCATAACATTAGTCCCAAAGAAGCCCCATGCAGCGTCGCTATCGGATTTCCGGCCAATCAGCTGTTGTAACACCATATACAAGGTCATCTCCACCATCCTGGCAACCCGTTTGCGCAAAATCCTCGTGAAGATCATTTCCCCAAACCAATCTGCATTTCTGAAAGGGAGATTAATGTTGGAAAACTCACTTCTGGCAGCTGAATTGATAAAGGACTACAACAGAGTCTCGGCAAAGAAAAATGCCATGGTAAAGATCGATATACGCAAGGCATTTGATACATTGAGCTGGGATTTTGTGATAAATTTGTTGCGTGGACTGAATCTTCCGCATAAATTTGTTGAGTGGATTGCAACATGTCTGACTACACCGAAGTATTCGATTTCAATCAACGGAAGTTTAGAGGGGTACTTCAAAGGGCGACGAGGGTTACGACAGGGGGATCCAATATCGCCATACTTGTTCATATTGGCCATGGAACCACTTACAAGAATGCTGAACAAAGCTGCACTTGCATCCGAGTTCATCACACATACGAGATGTCAGAAACCCCTTATAACGCATCTGTCTTTTGCTGACGATATAATGATATTCTCACAGGGAACAGAGAGCTCAATAGCAAGGATTCTTCAGATATTGGATGACTTTGGGAAACATTCAGGCTTGAAGCTTAACCTCAACAAATCTGAGTTGTTCATTAGTGGAACGGATCTCACCGAGGCAAGCAGAATTTGTGCAGCGGTTGGTCTGTCAAGAGGCCAACTCCCTGTCCGTTATCTGGGTGTACCCTTATCACCCAAACGGTTATCTAGGGAGGACTACAAGCCTCTCCTAGATAAGATCAGATTCAAGATGACAGCATGGGCAACAAAATCTCTTTCTTCAGCGGGGAAGATCCAACTTGTGGCGTCTGTTATATATGGATTGGTGAATTCGTGGAGTATGATCTTCATGCTTCCCAAATATTTACTGAAGCAAATTGACAGCCTTTGTTCAAACTTCCTTTGGAGTCACAAGCAAGGTACATCAGCAGCTCATCGGGTCTCGTGGGAGAGCATCTGTCGGACCAAGAAGGAGGGATGCTAAGGCTTGTTGAAATTGGAGACAACAAACACTACATTTCGATTGAAGCTAATCTGGCTACTCTTTGTCAAAAAGCAATCGTTATGGGTAGACTGGATAAGAGAAAACACTATCCGTAAACATGGTTTTTGGGAAGCCCCACAAACAATCAATGCTTCTTATAACTTCAGAAGACTCCTCAAGATCAGGGACCTGGCAAAAACCTTCATACGTGTGGAAATTGGGGATGGAAAACAAGCTTCATTTTGGTTTGACAATTGGTCTTCTCTTGGACCCTTGGTTGACTTTGTAGGTGGTTCGGGACCAAGGCTGATGCGACTCAACCGCCTAGCTCGAGTTCAAGAGGCTGCCCCGGAAGGCACCTGGAACCTGCCGCCGGCGAGGAATGACAAACTTATGCAGCTTCAGATTGCCCTAGCTGGAATGGACCCACCGATGGAGGGGAAGGGAGCTGATCGATACCTATGGCGGCAAAAATCTGGAGACTTTAGGGAGCATTTCAGTTCGACGAGCACCCGCCAACTCCTTCGAGGAATCCCTGTAGCAGTGGCATGGCACGACATGGTTTGGTTCAAAAAAGCAATTCCGAGGATGGCTTTCATTGTTTGGCAGGCAATCCAAGGACGACTTCCGACAGCTGATCGCTTGGCGGCCTGGGGAATGCAGATAGTGACGCGATGTATCCTGTGCAGTGCGGAGGATGAATCCCACGACCATTTGTTCTTCGCATGCCCCTTTAGCACTCATATCTGGAAGACGATGGCAAGGGCTTGCTGGCCATCTCCTCCGGATACGCTACGAGATTGTCAACAGTGGGTGGATGATCCGGGACACGCTATAGACAGAGGTCAGTCAGTTATTGTCAAACTTCTCGCCCAAATGTCCGTCTATGAACTGTGGAGAGAGCGGAACAATAAAATATTTTTTTTAATTTATATGTTATCACAAAATTTAGTTTATTTGTGCCATATATTTTCTATGTTCGATTATGGTATTACAATCGATTCATGTATTTGCGATAATTGAGTCTAGTTATTTATTCCATTTGTTACATTCTTATCATATTTTTAAGGATATCTTTGTTTTTTACGGTTTGATTATGATATCTTGCTAAGATTTACTCATTAACACCGTTTCTTTTTCATTGTCAAATTAAAATATACATATACACGCGATTATTCAATATAATAAAAATATTATCTAATCTGAAAAGAATTACATATTTCATATATATTGTAATATTTTTTACTAAATTATCTCGTTTATTTCCTTTTTTATATTGCTTAGAATAATGAATAACTAACATTATCGTGTAAAACAAAGAATGACAAATTTAATAAGAAATATTTTAAAAAATATTAATATTCTCTCATCTCATATAGATAAGATTTCAACGTCAAATAGGAACAAGACAATAACAAAAGAGATAAAAAAAAAAAAAAAAAAGGCTCTTCATCCAATTTTCTTGTGGTCGGAGAGAGAGAGAGAGAGG